TAGTGACTATTCAAAGTTACAACAGCACTGAAAGGAAATGACTAATGACCGGTCCTCAGGCTTACTACCATTGTAGCAAACCCCCCCCCTCCAAGAACATATGATCAAAATTCAGGCACTTGGCAACCCACATGTATTTATGATGGCTGCAGTGTCACCATTTGCGGCCTTCCCAGCCAGATTCCCACAAACAAAGTTGACGCGGGGCATGGCCTTTGCTTAATGACTATATGATTCACTTAACTCCTATAGTGATTTGCTTAACAACCGTGGCAAAAAAACTCACTTAACAAATGCCTTGCTTAGCAATAGAAATTCTGGTCCCAATTGTGGTCGTACGGTATGTCTTCCTCCATCTGTAGACAAGTTTCATTCTATAGTCCCTCTGAGACATCCTCCCGAACTGCAGTATACCAGTGCAATTTTATATGTAGATTTAAAGCAGATGGAGCACAGGAATGTATTTATTTATTTTTGTTCTCTAGCAAACCGTCACACCATATATTTCAGTTTATCTCACCTTTGTTTGGACTCCGCTGGGCATCTGTTGCTCCAGAGACTCAATACAGTAACCACGACATAGCTTTGCCACTAATAAGGACAGCAGCACTGTCAGAACAAGGGAACACTTCATTGTGGCGGGGGTTTCACCTGAGAGAGGAAAAACTTGGAAAGGGGGAAAAAACACAATTAAAGGGTGCAGGGGAATTCAGAAATAGATAGTGGAGAGGGGGAAAGTCAACACAGAAAAGAAAACTGTCAGGTGCAAGGAAATATCAACCATTCTATCTTTTGTGATGGTATAAAATTAAGCTATTGTTTTTAGAAAATTAATTAATTCATCCCCTATCATGAGATTTCAGCTACAGAACAGAACTTAAGTCACTTACTTTCTGAAAATAGGAAAGCAAAGTCTAAGTATTAAGAACACGCACTTTCCATTCTCTATTGAGTGAACATGTTCATCAAATGTACATCAGTGAACACAAGTATTTTTTAAAAAGCAAATATTGAGGGGTTTACACTTATCTTTTTGTACTTCTCTATATGCAGCAGATTAACAATAAATGTTTTTGCTTTCTTCTAAGTTCAGGATTTTATTTTGTTTTGGTTGTTTTTGTTCTACTCTAAGTTAGATTCATCTAAAGATAACTTCTTTTTCTTTCTTTATATATTAAGTAGTTCTAGTCTGTGTTTATTCCGGATCATATTGTATGACACGTGACCCAGAAGGAAAATTGTCTGTGTTTCCAAAAAGTCTTAAATTCAATATTTACAAACCTGGGCTAATTATAGCATTAAAATCCCCATAAATAATTAAATCTACATTACTAGGTTCACATAAAATATCAATAACCCAGATTATTCCAATTTACCTTTTGTCTGTGTAGCCTATAAACACTAATACATATTAACATTCTCCCTTTAGATTTCAGCCTTAGCATTTGAATTTCATCTTTATAATAATTTCCAGGATTCTTTTCTTCTATTCTCACATGAAGATAATAAAATTAGGCTCATTTAAACCCCGTTTAGCACACCTCATTTTTTTTGGCCCTTCCTTGCCTATTTATAAAAACATGTGTAGCTAGATAATACTACCAGATTATTTCCTCTTAACTAAATTTCTTAGAGAAAAATCATATAATTTTGTAGAAAATGGGGGGAAAAAAATCCTACCTATGCATTTACTCAGTGATGTTCCAGGATGCATTTAATTATAGAAGTCGTCATGTTAGTTTTTTGTAAACATTGTTCATTATGTAATCACATTTTGAATTTGAAACAGATGAGTATTTTGCCTTATTCTCCTGCAAAGACTCCTGCTATTGTGTTAGAATATGACATATCTGGTTTTTGGTCACTTCGGTTTTTGTTCTTTGTTTAGTTTTTTATTTAATTGTTTGAATCATCCTCTAGCCATTTCATATATTCGATTACGTTTAAAATTTAAAATTGAATATCTTTGTAAACATAATTATTTTTAACCCCAGGGATATTTGGTGTAAACCTGTGTGTTACATCCTAAGGTTCCTTAAAGAATCTCAAGTTCGATTCTATTTCTGGTTGCTTTGTGTTGTGCACTTCTGCAGTAAATTGTAAACTCCTACACTATTTGTCTTCATTGCCTTATCCATCTGAGCTGGCAATGGATTTTGTGGTGCTCTGTGAATCACTGGTTGTTCTAGATTATGTCCATTTACATAACTTCCTTCATGATCAATAACCATGAGTACTGTATATTGCTTTGCCAGAGCTCTTTCTTTTGATAACACACGTTATTGGGAGATTTACTTCTGCATTAATTAGGCTTTTCACCAGCTGTGTTCTTTTCATTATCCCTAGCTGGGTCATTATGTTCAATATCCTCCACTTGTGAGGTATATGGATTCTCAGTTCTTTGTATTTCCAATGTTAATTAATCCTGGTAGTTTTCATAAATTTCACCGAGTGTATAGTTTTGGAAGTTTTCTGTTAAAGGTAAAGGTTCCCCTCGCACATATGTGCTATTCGTTCCCAACTCTAGGGGGCAGTGCTTATCTACATTTCAAAGCCGAAGAGCCAATACTGTCCGAAGACGTCTCCATGGTCATGTGGCCGGCATGACTAAACGCCGAAGGCACATGGGATGCTGTTACCTTCTCACCAAAGGTGGTCCCTATTTTTCTTCTTGCATTTTTTACGTGCTATCGAACTGCTAGGTTGGCAGAAGCTGGGACAAGTAACAGGAGCTCACTCTATTACGCAGCACATAGATTTGCTGTTACCCCTAATAAAAAATTATTTTACACTATATATATTATCAAACTGGGTCTGTAAACTACTGGGTTTGGGGTAGCTAATAAAGGTCAGTTTGGTAGGGATCAATTGTAAATGCCAAGTATTTTGTTCAATCTCAGTATTTATTGAATAGCTATTAAAAGAGTAAGATTCAATGGAATCAACATGTTACATTTATTAAACTTTTACATTTATTGTCTATGTCTAATTGAATGACCCTTACTTGCTTGTCCCTACAACTCTATATTCAATTTGTTCTGTTTCTCTTGATTTTCCTTGTATTTGTACTTTTTTCCTCCCTGAATTAGAAACTTTTCTGGTTCTTTTCCCTTTTTATATTCAGTTTCCATGATGTACAGCAATGTGTTTAGCTTGAATTTGTTGATTTAAACAACTCCGGATTTTTAGTGTTTTATTTTTCTTGACTTGATTTTCCCTTTTATTCTTTTTATAATAACTGTTCATTTTTTGTTTTTCAGTTATTGTTTCTATTTCCTCTCCTTCAAATCAAATATATTTATTATGGTCTTTGAGCAGCCTTTACAATTTAATAATAATTAATAATAAAAATTGCAGTAAAAAAGAAAGTTTACTACAATTATTACTTGTTAGAGGAAGGGAAAAAGATGGGACAATGAAACAGTGTGTCTAATTTAATTTTTTTGCACAGTTGGTAAAAAAAATTGGCCACTTGATATGTTAAGTGTGTTAGTGCCCCTTTAAAAGATAATGAACAACCTTTATCTGCCTGGGCCTTGTATTTGATGCAATCAAAGGATGTCTTGAGGCACTGTAGAAGAGGTGAGAGTATCTACCGTGTTTCCCAAAAAATAAGACAGGGTCTTATTTTCTTTGACCCCCCCCAAAAAAAATAAGCACTTGGCCTTATTTTCGGAGAGGTCTTATCATTTTTGAAGTGGAGGCAGCGAGCGTGGTCACCTCATGGCTGCTGCTTGTTGCAATATTTTGGGGGAGAGCTTATTTTGAGGGGAGGGCTTATTTTAGCGCATGCACTCAAAAGCCCAATTGGGCTTATTATCCGGGGAGGTCTTGTTTTCGGGAAAACAGGGTACCTCCTTAGAACCTCGGGGGCAATGTCTCTGTGAATAAAGGGTCCTGTGAAATCTTCCCTCTAGTAAAGCTGATGGAAGAGCATCAACATGGACTCTAGAAAAGGCCCATCTATATTTGCTTGGTGTTAAATTGTACAAGCGTCCCACAATTGCCTTAACAATTGGTGATAGGATTCAGGGGTGTTGGTGGTATCATTCTGTCGATCAATGTGCCTGGTTCTCTCTTTTACTATTGATTTGGCCTTCTCTGAAGTTAATTGGCCTAATTACTCAGGAGAGTGGCCAAGACTGCAGATTTTTCCTCTATGCACAAATGGTGCCAATAGGATTGGTAATTGTTTAACAACAGCAAAAACATCAGGCCTGTAGGCTCAAGCATGATTCTAAGGCCTGAGCTTAGGATCCTAGTTCAGGCCTGAGCCTTAATACTAGGCACATTGGTTTGAAGCCTCAGTACTCAGGAGAACAAATGTATATTGTCTTTTTATGTACACTGAGAGCATATGCACCGAAGACA